TATTGATCACATCACGAATGTTTCATCTGCATAGAACCATCATTATTATTTTAAAATTTAATCTTTTCTTTTTTTTAGGATGTATATAAGTTTTGTGGACGTGGACAAATCAAACGTGGGATACGTAGGAAAAACATTCCACGACATCCTGTGATTTCTACTTTCCAGTCAGAGAGTTTTACGAAATACTTTCAAAGCATGTTTCGTAGAATATCTTATATTTTGAAAAAGAATGAAATATAATCAAAATCTATGGTGTAAAAGAATCATGTTTAAATTGAATGTTTTAATAAAGAGATCTTTCCAATTTTGTATACGTATCCGATGCATATGATCCTATGATAATTTTACTGTTAAGTTACTCCTGAATATAATAGAAAAATGACGGGGAATTTTATAAATTAATATAAAGATATATTTTCTGATTCTACATATCATTACATAATGCGGATTGGAACTCCAAGAGCGAGAGGAAAGTCTGAGGAAGAGTTGCAGACATATCAAGCAAATGACATAGAACTAAATTGTAGGCTAATGATGGAATCCAAAGTTTCTTAAAATTTGTGATGCAACTAGATTTCAATGTTTCATACATTCAGATCATGCATGATTTGAGTCAGGTCTTTCAGCTTTGCAAATAATTGAGGATGGCCATCATTCCTCTTCATTTACTCTTAACAATTACACTGCAATCGAGCTTCTACGTAATTTGAAGTTAATCTATATTACGATGAACAATCAACATAAATAATTCATTTCATATTATCTTAGAGCTGTATGATCAATATACTTTGGACCAGGTTTAAATTAAGATCTTTCATCAGATTCCGTAATTTATCAAGAGAGGTACGGATTAGGGCATCATAGTTCATTCTTTGCCTACGCAGGCCAACAATTTGTTAATAAAAACATTTCGTGTCATTCTAGCTAATGTGTAAAGGATAATTGATTTTGATTTCTTGAAGTTTCAATGCTGCATGTTTTATAGTTTTCATCAGTATTACCTATTACAGACAGGCCTGATCCCACAATAGACATAATGGCGTCGAATAACTTCCAGAATATCCGGATCAGATTATAATGGAATTTGCATTTATCTGAAGATCCTGGTTCAATGCATCCAAAGAGAATCAAATGATCCAGCACCGTTTAAGTACTATAAATGGAGCATTGAAAAAATAATTGCTTTATGATTATCACAAGAAATTATAATTTCAAAAAAAAAAATCAAGGAAATGTGCATTTCCTTTGAGAATGAAGAGAATCTGAAAGGAAATGCACATTTCCTTCCTTTTTTTTTCGTGTAAATAATGTCCATTCATATATTAAATTGCACAGGATGTGGAATTATTTTTAGAAGTTTCGTATTACTGTGGAAAGTTCAAACTAACTATTCTTTAACAACTTATTATTTAACATAGAACATATCTATAATTTGTATTTAGTTTCTTCATCTAAGCATATTACTGTAAAGAATTTTTAAGCAGAAAATATATTGGAACTATAATTCAATTCTATTTTTATTTGGTTTGGTACACTGTAATGACCAGTAAAAGAAACCTAACAAGGTTTGTCAGATCTGCATTTCGGCAGTGAAATTTGCAGAGATCTTGAGTAATGTGAGGGAGGAATGGCCGCCAGTGCATCTTCTATTGATGTCCTTCAACGAGAATGCCTTAGCTTAACAACGAGAATTTCTGCATCCTCCCGAAGCTGTACTTGGTCACGATTGCTTGGTTTTTCTAACAAGTCATCTAAACTTCCTGCCATTTAATTTTCTTTCTATATTGCTTTGTCTATTATCTATTGATTGAGAAAATCTGTTGCAACATTGTATGTATAATACCTGGATTCAATCTTGAATTCCTAAAAGTGTTAGGCTAATTTAGAAAATGCTTACACTTCATTTGTTTTGTAAAAATTACAGCTGTATTTTGTATTGCACCAAAGTAATATAGGTATGTCCCGAAGCAACTTCTGTCGGTATAATGGCTAATGGTTGTCAAAATTTCATTAGACACACTCTTAGAACTTCTCCCCATCTCTACAAATCTCACACAGCTGAAATATTTACAATAATTAATAAATATTAATACGTCCTGCAACCTCCAAAATATTGTGGCCAGATGGCCACAATTTTAAGATAATTTAAACATATTGTTCAATACATTTCATATTCGAATTATACTGGTCAAAAGCTTTAATAATCGGGTGTATGAAGAAAAACTTCATACTTGCAGACTTCGTACCTGTTTGTATCCTTGCCCAATTTGCACAACCCGCATAATGCAATTATCGAAGCTACTGAGCATGGTTAAAAATTAAGACGGCATTGGTGCAATTATTCAAGCTATTACGAGTAAAGAATTTTCAGTGTTATGCCACAAGTAGGCTACATATTGATTACAGTATTAACAATCTGTGACGAGTAATAAGTAAAAATTTAAACCTACTTATTAGCTTTTTAAAAATTAATAAATACAAATGTATTGTGACAGTTTGAGTTAAAATTGATGAGATTTTGCAAATAGAAAGTGTAATCTTAACACAAAATATGCAAAAAGTGATCTAAGAAATTTGTGGGATTTCCTGGGTTAAAAGAAAAAAGGGGGTCCCATTTGAGAAACCCTAGTGTCATCCTTTCTCTCCTCTATTCTCGGGCCAAGCTATTCCTTCCCTTTCGTGACCCCTCAGTTCTCCGAATTCTTAACAATTGAAGATGTGGAGTTAATGGGGAGGGGTGCTAATGAGTAGCAGATTTTAAACTCTGCTTACAACTAGTGCAAATACCAACACGTGCGTGTTAAGGTTACAGCTAATTCACGTGTTTGTGGATGTTCGTATTAAGTTCTCATTTATAAATTTATTGACAAGACTATGTCTTGTTTATAAAATCGTACTGCAGTTTTGTGTGATTAGTGTAGAGGTATAAAGGAGTACATGTCGAGAGTTGATATTTGGCAGAGTACTGTATTAGATGCCCAAATCATTTGCACATAAAAAAAATGCAGACTTGTAGGTAGTAATGGGACCGAAAACCGAGTCAAAATAAAATACAAAATGGCGACCCTCTTCTACAAACAGGCAAAAACCTGACCCCGCCGAAGTCAGGTGGAGGAGAGTACAGTACCACCCACGGTCATTCTAAGAAGTGAACTCTGACCTTAGGACTGAACACGTAGTTTCACTTCTATGTTAAATAAAATTTGTAATCTAATTTCGTAAATTTGGGAGTGCTTCAAATATGATGTTAAAACGGTTTTATGTCGTTACAAGTGGGTGATTTTAACATTATCTAGTATAGTAAAATCGTGGGACCGTTAAAAATTTGAGGTTATGTTAGGGTTTTTTTTAAACTCTTTCCGCCCTGTGGGCACTAACAGGGCCTCTTTTAGCAAGCCCATTATGGGTTCGGCCAGGCCCACAATGGGGCTGCCGGGTGGTGAGGGACGGGGCCGAATGGAACACCCCCCGAAGAATTCATGGGGATTTTTCGACCCGTTCGGATTCGAGCCCGGGTCTCCCAGGGCGATGGGCTGCCGCCTTGACCGCCATTATATTAGGGACGATACAGTAGCCACGATTTTTTTTTCAAAAACGGGAAATTTTCGTTACGAATCGACAAAAATTCAACCCGGCCCGACACGCAACGGAGAGAAATTTCGAAATTGGATAGGTTAATTTCATCGAAAATGCATCGTGGCCGGCGAAGTTTGAACTATTGCGCCCAAAAGCAGCGATACCAAAGAAGATTGGAGAACGAGACCCGCTTTGAGCGTCAAAGTGATTTCGCTTAGTAGGGAGTCTCCGAGACAGCCTTGTCCCAAATACGGTTTTGCCGTTTTAAGAGACAATCATGCTGTATTGATGACTTATGTAAGATATATTGACAATGATGAATTCAATGAAGAGATGACGTTCTGTGAAACATTGAAAACCACAACTACTGCCATTGATATATACAATAAGCTAAAAATATATTTAGATAAAACTCAAATACCAATGAAATAATATAACATCGTGTGCTGCAGATGACGCTCGTGCTACGATGGGCAAGAAACGCGGTTGTTTAAAACACTATTCAACATAATAAATACAATAGCGTGGCTGTGTCGAGACAGAAACAAAATACCCAATTATGATAAGTTTAGCGAGAAAATTACTTTTGTCATTTCCATCGTCGTATTTAGTTAAATGCGGGTTTAGTACTGTAAATGATTTGTTATTGAAGAAAAGAAATTAGAGAGGTTGCGGCCGACGTTTTCGTCTCTAAAACGTGAACGTCGAACGTCGAGCGTCGCTTACAAGATAGCGGCGCTCGACGTTTACGTTTTACAGATGAAAACGTCGGCCGCAACCTCGCTATTATTTAGCAATTTCTTGATGATTTTCTACACAGTACTTGAACTGTCCTTTTATTTTTCTTTTTCAAAGAAGTCATGTTTTCTGTCACGGGGGGACATTAGGATTTTAAAGATAGTTTCGTGGGGCATGGCCAGAAAAGGTTGAGAAACACTGCTCTAGACGCTTTTACAACATACTTCAACTAGTAATCATCACTCTGGCATTAGAACATAATTTTAGGCCGAATTGCTTTGCGAAATGTGACGACTAATTTGGGCTATAATAAGAATTTGGCAGTAGTTTTACAAGTTTATTATTATTATTATTTTTCCTATTTTAACGAAGTATTTTAAAAATTGCAGCAAAGTTTTAATAATTTACGAAAATTTTAGCCCTCATTCTATGCGAAAAGTCACTCTTTACTGAGAACAAATTCGTTTAAAAGTCAAATTTGTGTTAATTTTATGCCGCTACCCGAACCAAAATTAATGGCGAAAAAAATTACAATACTCAAATGTAACTAAACCAGACTCAACCGAACCTCATTTTAACTATATTATTGTTGGATAGGAATTAATTTTATTTTAATTAGTTGAATGTCAAACAATTCATTTTTTTAATTTTAATTTATTAATACGTCCGATCGAGACGAACGAGTGAGAGGGCGCCTCCATCTTCGGTGTGTGGTTTGGTGTGGAACACGTGAGTAAAGTTATTCCTCTGTAAGTTGTGATAATACCTAATTCAAACTTAGGTTATAGCAAATTATTAATTTTTTTTAATTAAGATTTTGTCTGGATTTCTGCAGAACAGTCTAAAACAATATACATATTATTCAATAATCATTTAAGGTTAAATGCAATAATAATTAATAGGGTGGTGGTAAATGTACTGTACTTGTTATGGCCACATTAAGACAATTTTCAGCTTTAAAAATATTTTTATATTCTTACAATTTTTTCCTTAAAAAAGCAATGAAACAATGTAAAAACATGTTCTTTTACTTTATTACATTAATTTTTATTAATTTTAACATTTTATAAACAAAATTTAGAATGTTTTAAAATATTGCAAAAAATCACCAGTTTCTGGCCCATAAACATGGGGTGCTGCCTTTACTATTTTTTGTGATAAAGGTTAAGTTTTGGGTCTACAATTCTTCCGAATATACTCGTGCAATTCTCGTGTAGTCGGAAATGTAGGATCTGATGAATTTTCTAAGAATTAGAAGAAAAACAACTGGAGCCTATATGTCTTTTCAATGTTGATTTTGACAGTAATAATAAAAGTGGAGTTTTTCTAGCAAATGTATATGCCCTAGAAGACTTTTTGCTCCGTAAGACACGGTATTTTACCGTGTTGTGGCTCCAATAAGGCTTTTGTTTATTGTAAACAACCAGCTGTTCAAGTATCAAATCTGCTTTGCTGTTATCTAAAAATATGTATAATTTTATTAGTCACTAACACAAATCACCATAAAAAAATTAAACAATTAATAGTAGGCTACATAAAATCAATTTTGTGTTATAATTGTGATCGGAGGGTTGGCACCTCTTTGATCGGGACTGACGCCACTGTGTCTCGGTTGACATGGGAACCACGATGGCGATTTCGATTAGGTTAAAAAGTCGGCCATGTGAGCGAGCGATCGGGTTCCGGATGGAGACGGAGAGATAGCCCGACAGAAGTAAAGTACACCGACACTAAAGTTTACAACTAAATAACCATTTAATTTCAATAAAAAGGAGTACATGATACAATATATAGACTTAACCTAGCTATCTAGCAATTGTGAGAGAGACAGTTTACGATTGTTTGCGAGTTGGAAAATACCTGCATTGATAGTGATGATTCTTGATTTGAGGTTGAGATTAGGATCTTGAGGGGGTTTGGGTTTGGACCAGTCTGGATCAAGAAAGTTCTTCTTCTAGGTGCAGTTCGGGGTAATGTAAAAATCCGATAGAGTACGATTGTCATTGACATAGGAAAATTTTGATGACTTTAATCCAAGAGGGACTGCCGACCACTACCTAAATTTGCAGTTACTTGCTATATTGAACTGATGAAATCGATACAGTCGGTCGGAAGGTTACGAGAAAGCATCGCTTTCACTGCCGAGAACTTAACAGCCAATTTATTCCTGTGTGTAAAAGTTGAAAGTTTATTAATAACAACAAAGTTTTATTGTCCAGACATTAGATTGTTTATGTTGAAGTCAGAATTCTCACATAATGTACTATATTGATATAATAGGATATTAGGAATATTAATATGTTTTCATGTGAATTATTGTTACATACCTTGGGCACTGTAATTCTCTAAGCTTTCTATATGATATTTTTCATTTTTTCAGCTAACAATTTGTTTTCTGGTTTCATTCTACACTGGTAATGTAAAAATCTGATAGAGTACGTTTGTCATTGACACAGGAAAATTTTGATGACTTTAATCCAAGAGGGACTAGCGACCACTACCTAAATTTGCAGTTACTTGCTATATTGAACTGATGAAATCGAGACAGTAGGTCGGAAGGTTATGAGAAAGCGTCACTTTCACTGCCAAGAACTTAACAGCTGATTTATTCCCGTGTGTAAAAGTTGAAAGTTATTAATAACAACAAAGTTTTATTGTCCAGACATTAGATTGTTTATGTTGAAGTCAGAATTCTCACATAATGTACTATATTGATATAATAGGATATTAGGAATATTAATATGTTTTCATGTGAATTATTGTTACATACCTTGGGCACTGTAATTCTCTAAGCTATGATATATATATTTTTCAGCTAACAATTTGTTTTCTGGTTTCATTCTACACTGTGATCTTGCCTCCTGCATTTCTGCTCCAAAGTTTACAGTCTTCTCTTGTCAAACTTCAGTTTTAGCATTGTATAACTTGTCCCTACAGAAATTTCTGTATTAGACGCAGAACTAGATGGTCTTATGTCACAGTCTGAAAGTTCACATGTGGGTGAAGTAGAGAACCTGCTTTCGTAGTCTAAAAAAAACAGCTCTGTCCACTGGACTCATTAAGGGGACTTAATCATGTACTTGTTGCTCAGATTGAACACACTTTCATTCGGTACCAGTACAAACTCCTTTCTTGGGACTAACCTTTTTTACTTATAATAAAAATGCAAAAGTAGCATCAATGGTAAGTAGCATAATGTTATAAAATTATTCATTTTCCCTACATTATTTAATTATGGAGTATTAAATAAATCTTACCTTTTCTTACTGATGGCTTTTATCCATTTTAAACGTAGATTCTCTTCCGCAGGATATTTACGAAAACTTGTTCCATCTTTTTTTATTTGANCATAATGTACTATATTGATATAATAGGATATTAGGAATATTAATATGTTTTCATGTGAATTATTGTTACATACCTTGGGCACTGTAATTCTCTAAGCTTTCTATATGATATTTTTCATTTTTTCAGCTAACAATTTGTTTTCTGGTTTCATTCTACACTGTTCATCATATAAGCACTAGATAATGTGATCTTGCCCCCTGCATTTCTGCTCCAAAGTTTACAGTCTTCTCTTGTCAAACTTCAGTTTTAGCATTGTATAACTTGTCCCTACAGAAACTTCTATACTAGATGGCCTTGTGTCACAGTCTGAAAGTTCACATGTGGGTGGAGAACTAGAGAACCTGCTTTCGTAGTCTAAAAAAAACAGCTGTGTCCACTGGACTCATTAATGGGACTTAATCATGTACTTGTTGCTCAGATTGAACACACTTTCATTTGGTACCAGTACAAACTCCTTTCTTGGGACTAACATTTTTACTTTTAATAAAAATGCAAAAGTAGCATCAATGGTAAGTAGCATGGATGTTATAAAATTATTCATTTTCCCTACATTATTTAACTATGGAGTATTAAATAAACCTTACCTTTTCTTACTGATGGCTTTTATCCATTTTAAACGTAGATTCTCTTCCGCAGGATATTTACGAAAACTTGTTCCATCTTTTTTTATTTGATGTACAAAATGGCACAGATTAATGAACCTTTTTAAAATTCACCAGTATCTTGATATATAGTATTTCAAAATTTTAAAGTGGGTACGAGTAAAAAACCCCTTAATGTCCTCCCGACATTAAGAGTTGGAGGGATATTTGTTAAATTAATCAACCACAAACCTTTACGGTGCAAAATTACATACAAAAATCGAGTTAAAAAGTTCCCACAAACGTTTTCAAACCCACTTAGGTTCTTCTTCAGGTGAAAAAACTTAAATACTCAAAAACATTCGATGGAATCCAAAATTTGAATGAGAAACGATCAACGAATACGATGAATTCTGCCACTGTCGTCATCAATACGCATGCGTATTTTACCGATGTAAACATTTTTCTTTTTATAGAATATTTTCTCTGTCCTGTATAAGCATTTCCCACGCTAGGGATAGAGATAATTCCTCCTTATTATTAATGCACCTGTTGTTTCGGGCCGCTTTATATATAGACATTGCCTCTATCCATCTTAGATGTTCCGTATGCGGTGTGGTGTGAATGATTCTAGCCTCATTAAACTTAGGATCGATATCTGGATCTGTAGCATAACGAGCAAGTGCCGTAGTTAGTCTTCCATGCTGTATGTCTGCGATGTGTTCTTTTAATCTGACAGATAACGAGCGCTTAGTGGAGCCAATGTATAATAACTCTTCATTACATCGATGATCATTCAATGGGATGGTATATACTCCCGAAAGCATGTGATTGTTGGGAGGATCTTTAGCATTACGGAGTATATTAAAGACCGTGGGACATCTCCTGTATGTGATATTGATGTTTTTCTTTTTAGCAATCTCTGAGTAGAGTTTCTGTAACCACGGGTTGTAAGTGACCGGAACTCTGTCTTTATGCTCTGGTCTGTCGTCTTCCTGCCCTGCGTCTCTTGCGGATACTTGTGGATGGCGTAGTTTCTTGGATAATTTACTCATAAGGTTGTAATAACCATGGCGTTTCGCTATGTTAGCTATGGTTCTAAGCTCAGCACTTGCTCGTTATGCTACTATGTTAGCTATGGTTCTAACTACGGCACTTGCTCATTATGCTACAGATCCAGATATATAAGTTTAATGAGGCTAGAATCATTCACAGCACACCGCATACGGAACATCTAAGATGGATAGAGGCAATGTCTATATATAAAGCGGCCCGAAACACAGGTGCATTAATAATAAGGAGGAATTGTCTCTATCCCTAGCGTGGGAAATGCTTATACAGGACAGAGAAAATATTCTATAAAAAGAAAAATGTTTACATCGGTAAAATACGCATGCGTATTGATGACGACAGTGGCAGAATTCATCGTATTCGTTGATCGTTTCTCATTCAAATTTTGGATTCCATCGAATGTTTTTGAGTATTTAAGTTTTTTCACCTGAAGAAGAACCTAAGTGGGTTCGAAAACGTTTGTGGGAACTTTTTAACTCGATTTTTATATGTAATTTCGCACCGTAAAGGTTTGTGGTTGATTAATTTTGCGTTAACACGGTGTTGTGGAGAAATTTGGGATATTTGTTTTGTTAAGTTATGGCAATGCAACACTTGGGTGTTCTGTCTAGGGGGATGCCTTTCGGGAGGTCTTTTAAAGGGTAACTGGTCCCTATTTGGTCATTACAAACGTGGAGAAAATCTGGGAAACTTCCGTGGCCATCCCGTCCAGGCAAGGCACGGAACCATTGAGCTCATTGAAAGGGTAAATTCAAGGGATGGGTAAGTAGTTTTGCAATATAGCTACAAGTGAGAAGTGAAATTTTTCACACCGCAAAAATGGTGGGCGTGCAGAAGCAGTATGCGCTTTTGTTCCACAAGTTTCGGGTTTAAATTTGGGATATACAGTAGACCCCCCTATAACGCTTAGATACGTTCCACGCTAACCGAAAATTACGTTGTAGGAGTGAGCCAATCGCAGCCCGATAGGTGGGAACTTTACGGACTAAGGCTGTTCGAAAGGTTTTCTTATATAAAATTAACCGATTCTAGACTAATTCCACTCAACATTTCCAAAACATGTATAATTTTTTGGGAGTAATCCGTACAAACTATGCTATAAACAAAAAATTATAGGATTACTTACNGACTTAATCATGTACTTGTTGCTCAGATTGAACACACTTTCATTCGGTACCAGTACAAACTCCTTTCTTGGGACTAACCTTTTTTACTTATAATAAAAATGCAAAAGTAGCATCAATGGTAAGTAGCATAATGTTATAAAATTATTCATTTTCCCTACATTATTTAATTATGGAGTATTAAATAAATCTTACCTTTTCTTACTGATGGCTTTTATCCATTTTAAACGTAGATTCTCTTCCGCAGGATATTTACGAAAACTTGTTCCATCTTTTTTTATTTGATGTACAAAATGGCACAGATTAATGAACCTTTTTAAAATTCACCAGTATCTTGATATATAGTATTTCAAAATTTTAAAGTGGGTACGAGTAAAAAAACCCCTTAATGCCCTCCCGACATTAAGAGTTGGAGGGATATTTGTTTTGTTAAGTTATGGCAACGTAACACTTGGGTGTTCTGTCTAGGGGGATGCCTTTCGGGAGGTCTTTTAAAGGGTAACTGGGCCCTATTTGGTCATTACCAATGTGGAGAAAACCTGGGAAACTTTCGTGGCCATCCCGTCCAGGCAAGGCACGTAACCATTGAGCCCATTGAAAAGATAAATGCAAGGGATGGGTAAGTAGTTTTGCAATATAGCTACAAGTGAAAAGTGAAATTTTTCACACTGCAAAATGGTGGGCGTGCAGAAGCAGTACGCGCTTTTGTTCCACAAGTTTCGGGTTTAAATTCGGGATATACCTGGATACTTTTTGATGCATGGTGAGGAAAAGATCGCAAACATTTCATATTTGTAGACACCGTCGTCAGTGCTCCTTTTCTAAGAAAATTACTGCCTGTGTTGATGTGACTAAAAACGTAACAGCAACTAAAGAAGAATGTTTATTTTTTCTTTGTAAATGCACACATTTATGTTGCAGCATCTATGGTACACTCCAAATTTTTGTATATCTCTACCTGCACTCTCCTGTATTTTTTTATTTAGTGTTAATATCTAAATGGCACCCTTTTTGTAATATCATTTATCTTTTCCATTCAAAATACAGCTATACCTTACCTTACGTCGGTAATTTGTTCCAGGAGAGGTGACTTAAATCGAAAAACGACTTGTCGGATTTACTTGTCACTAGGCTAAACCACAAATAACCATTCCCAGTTCTGTGTTTTATTTATAAATGCATTTTTAATAATATATACAGTAGTTAATAAGAATCTATTTTAAGCTTACAAACAAATAAATTTAAAAAAAAATAGTCTAAATTTAATGAATACAGATACATACATACTTGTAAATATACATGTTTACAGTACATCGCAAACTCTTTATTTGTGAATGTGGTTTTCTCAAAGACATTATAGGATGATTTTGTAAGGTTAAATAGCAAATACAGTTATTAAAATTATTTTGCCACAGAAAATAAACTAATTTATTTTAAATTTACCAATTTCGAGTGGCGCTGACAACGACGCTAAACAGTAGATATTGGAACTACCGTGGAAAATGTCAATATTGAGCTCTTTTTTAAAGACCACTAAATAGGACGACGACACAGAGTCACAGATGTTTTCATATTTCGTTCTCTAGGATTTATGATGATTATATTAACATTTACTGTAAATGTATGTATTTTAAAATGATTTTATGTGCTTTTAACACTTTTCTAGTGATATTACAACTTCAGTATTTGTGGCGGACAGACATAAAGTCAAATAAAATGACTTAAACTTGATTTTTATTTTTCCATATATTTTTTTTGACAAATGATGTATCAAGAACGAATTAACTTGAAACGATGTAATCCGAGGTATACCTGTATTGTTAATGCTTCTGGACAAGAACATAGAGATGCATGACATGGCATTGTCTGTCTGTTGAAAGACGAAACAGACAATAAAGGGTTGTCCCGCTCCTTTTAGTCTTTTTGTTGGCTCTGGCTGATCCGTGGAATGCATCGTGGTCGATACAGTGATCAGTTTATGTTTTGTCTTGCCAGTCACCAGACTTCTTGACAAAATGCATAGGAATTTTCTTATCAAACAACTGCAGGTATTTAGTACTGGTGGCTGTCGATGCGTTTTGCGATATGTTTTATGGTAAGGTATTCCGAGCGAAAAATAGCCTCGCTGCCAATTGAAGGCGGAAAAGTGGCTATTGTCTACTGGTATTGCATCAACAAAACATTGTTATCGAGTCCTAATTGGTGTGTGTGTGAAACCGAAAATGTTTAATTTTATTATTGGATTATAGGATGGACCAAAGTTCTATGTATTTATCACTTCATACAAGTGGTAATAGAATTGTCTGTCCTGACAATCATGTGGTATTCATTAAGGGAATCAAATATCTTACTTATCAACACACATTCTGTACTTTTCAGAATTCTAAAAAATGATAAATACTAGTTGGTTCCTGACAAAGAATGGCCTGATCTTCAGCAGGTGTGCAGTGATGGCCGCGTCCATCAGTTCCTTTACCGGATACGTGGGTCTGCATAGTTGGTTTCTGGATAACTACAGGAAGGTGTTTCAGTTTTACAGGTAAGTTCTTTTAAAGTGTAAATTTTGCTCCAAATGTTTTCCAGAAAGTGCGGAAAGCCTTGACAAGAGAACATTTTTACAGAATGACACGTTTTAAACATCTGTTATTTCTCTTTCTATTGAGTGTATTGACTCTTCAATAAAATCTTTAACATAATCCCACAAAAAGAGATCAATATCTAAATTGGGGCTATGAGGTGGCCAATCTATGCCATGATAACCTAAAGATGTTAAAAATCATTAAAGAATTTGTGAATTAATCTCATTCACTGGTGTGATAAGCCTGTGTGTATGCATGTCTATTTATTTAGACTAAGTGTTAAAAGTAAAATTTGTCAATAACTCAATTTACACAGCAAGTTAATGTTGTTTTTTTGGAAATATTATGCTGGTAATTTGTTTGGAACCAATGGCACGTGTCACAAAACTGTTATTGCTTCTGGGTGCAAAGGCTAATAATAGGAAGATGAAGATTTTCTGCACCCGACATCAGTAAGTTTGATATGATCTGTCTCAATTAACTAAGTTTGCATTTATAAATAAGGCTGCATTAACCTTATTCGAAAGCATGCTCCTTTAATGACTGTCAAACTACTTTTATAGTAAAATAGGTTTGATTCCATTTTTGCAATCTTTCTGGCATAAATGTAAGAAGTGTCTGGCTGTTCTGCCATGTATCATATCAACATGGTCAGCCACTCTTGAATTACCATTTTAGCACAATTTATATTTTCTGGAGTGACCATTGTAGAAAAATTGCACGACACCAGGCCGACACAATGGATCCATGACTTCGAGTGGTCATTGTGTTTCAGCTCTCAAGCTGCGAGTTGAGATTTATCCTGACCACGCAACACGGCACCAGTAATCCATTGTCCAATTTCAACGTTCTCTGGTCCAGGTGAAGCACATTGCCCGAAGTCTGGATATCAGTAGTGGCACCCAAGTGGGTTGACGACTACCAAACCCCAAAGATTGCAGTGTATGTTATACAGTGTGCTGACTGATAGGTTTGGTAGTACCCGTGTTGAAGTCTGATGGGATTTGGTGCAGAGTTGTTCTTTATGTGATTACTAACACGGTTAGCCGCCAGCAGTATCCGTTCTTGCATCAGTTGTGAATGCCAACACTGCACATGCTGTGGATATCTGTCTGAAATTTTAGTATTCCTGGTAAATCCTTGAAACTGTTGCCCAGGAAAATGAGAGAGCATTGGCCACTTCACTGATTATTGGAGCAAGAAATGGACAACTATCTGTCCATGAACAAATGACAATACAGTAGAGCATCGATTATCTGAATATCGATCAACCGAAACGTCAGTTAACCAAAAGCTTTCCAGTCGGCAAACTTAAATTTCTGCTAGTGCTGTGGCACTGCAAACTTTGGCTATGTCTTGGGCTACTCCAATATTATTTTTGTTGGTATGCGTGTTTTAGCTGGCAGCACTGGCGCGACCGTGAGAGGGTACTTAAGGACGTGCCAGGATTTGAACGAATTTCAACGTGGGATAGGTTAATATATTTTTCGTACATAATCAGTTATCCGAAAAATCGATTTTCCGAACAACCCGTCCCCAATTGATTCGGTTAATCGATGCTCTGCTGTAATTTACATGGCCCATTACTACTCTAACCAAACTCACACATAACTGTCATACCTATGGTGTCACATGCAAATGTTCTGGCTCAAAATACTTCTCTTGTGGGTAGAAAGTAATAATATTGCATGTGCTGCTGTGTCTAATTTTTTGGCACATCAGTTTATTAGCAATTGTTTTTTTTTTTTTGGGCGAATTGTTTCTTAATAGTGTGTATTTTTGGATAAAATGATAAGAAGACAGTTGTAATATTATGTACATAAACATGATGTTTTAAAATTTACCAGACTAATGCAAGACCACAAAGAAAACTGCATTTGGCATTTCTTCTTCAAATTATTTTGTGTGACGAATGCACCAAAAGTAATTGTTTTACCAAGTCTAATGAGTTACTCAACAATGATGTTCACTATGCCAGTTTATTTTCAAAGTGGGCATTTTAAGAAGTTGAAAACATTAGCCTTTTAGTACGTAACCTGCATATTCAAGAGACAGTTTGTGTTGCAAAACTAGACCGATTTTGGCAATAAACTTCCTTTTGTGGCCATATAACATGCACATCCAGCAGAGCCAACGTTTTATGACTCTTTCTTGTATCGCGAAACAATAGGTAATCTTGTTTTTGGTCTATATAGTTTTTTTATCTAGAGATACCAGAAATAAAATGAGAATCCATAACCATTTAACAGTCTCAAACTCGACAAGAACATTTGCTAAGCATGAAAATACTGGAACAAATGCTATTTTTGATGGAGAAAAATGAAAACATTTTGTTTTCTTTAAATGATAGCATTAATGTTAACTTTTTCTCATTTAGTTCTGGATTTGAAAAGCCTTTGAGTAGTGAACTAGTATCATTAAGCAAAGAGGTAAGTGGAAAACAAGTGTGGTGGCGATGCTTTAATTGTATTATAAAATGAATTTCTACCGTAACATTTTAGGTATTGGAAGAGAGCAATTTAACCGAGAAGCAGAAAGAGTCCTTTAAATTTTTCATGGTGTGCGGATTTGACACCTTTCATGCGGGAAGCACGCAGCTGAATACGGGAGGGTTGGTGGGTCTGCCCAACCACTTCAACTACACCAAAGAGGACGACGTGGAAAAGCATGCCATAAAACTACAGAACAATTCTTCCGTTCACTGGAGCACCCGGGCAGGCCAATCGCTGCTGGACTCGCTGGTGCTGAGCAGGGCAGCACAGAAATTTGCCACAGCCAGGGAGATACACTATTGCACCACCAGTTACGTGTATGCTTACGGGGTGGGGGGTACCATTGCCATAACTGCCGCCTATCTCCTTGGTAATGGACTGGCAGTTCGGTTTCAACTGTACAGACTTCCACTAAAACTCAGAGCGGCCCTGTATTCCATCTGTGGTTCTCTCGGTCTCTTCCTTTTCGTTACCACAAAAGATGCAGCAAGTCAATACTGGGACGGTTACGCCGACAGGACTGCTGCCAAGACGTCATCGGAATATCTTAATGGAGGAATCGAATATTACGAAAAGTGTCTGAAGCGAAATGTAGCTCTGAGGACTTTAATGGGGGAAGAGGGTGAAAAGTATTTCACCTGGCACGGAAACAGGAAGACATTCATCAGAGCTGTGACATTACCTTTGACTGTCCGCCTGGATAATTTGAAAGCAATGAAGGCAAAAGAACAGCAAATTTTGGAAAGTATAGAAGCGAATTAGATAAGTAGTATTTTGTTTGTGAATACCTTTGAAGTAACTTTACTGCATGAAATTTATAAGTGTACATAGTATTAGTAATAATAAAAGAAGAAAAATGACACTTTATATTCAGAAAACATGAAAATTCATTTATTTCTGTTCAATGAAATTTCTGCAACCGACAATGAGATGGCCAGGAACACTAAAAAGATCAGTTTTGTTATCTTAACATGCACACAACATAATCGGGTCATCTGTTCTGGGTCGATAAAAACGTAGATGATTTAATGCAACGCAAATGTCGATAAGTACAAAATAATAGCTTAAGTACTAGTGTGCTCCTGGCTTGTCGTACAAAATACTCTTGGTAAATAACAACAGAATAGCAAAGTGGGCATTATTGTAACAAAATCATCACAAAATAGCTGCTGTAGTAACTGCCAGTTTGTACAGATAAAAGTATATCAAATCTAAAGGCGTTAATTGCACAAATAACACCAAAGTCGTATAAAGTGATATGTCTATCAACATTTAAAAAAGTCGCTTCTACTCAAGAATTCCGACGAAGTTTGCAAATAAATTACGGCTTATTTCTGACGCGACTACACTCACACGCGGACGAAAGAAAAACTTTTCCGTAATAATTGCACAAATAAATAACATAAATAACAATAGAAACTGCATTTACAAAATTTAGTCTATTTTTTAAAATTTAATATATATGCAGAATCCTATCTTGGACATATACCAAAACCGGTGATTGTCGGATTTTTAGAAGAAAATTGACATCGTGGATATTTATCGTAGACTGCCATAAATATTTTATGGATTACATAAGAGGCTGCAAATGCATTTTCCAAACCGAATGGATATAATTTTGGTTCGATGTCCAGGACGTCTTCTATGGCCGTGCCGCCATTCGAACAGGCACTACGGCAACTTTCCGATACCAAAAGCGACATGTTCTAATTTTAGATAAATGGCAGTGAATAAGTTACTTCTTAAAGTATACGCAATAAAAAATAAGAGAATTAACTATTAAGACAAGAACATATTGCATTACGCAATAAGGTTTAAAGTTAACCTCTTAATTAACCTTTAGAATACTTTGTAAGGAAGACAATCTCCATTTACTGTATTTGTTTTTAAATTTCTGACAGAACATCAACACATTTTAATATGTTGCCTTGGTTTGGAGATGTCGGAAGTGAGACAGTTAGATGCAGTGCGACTATTATTGAATGTGGTAGACTGTTAAGAATTTATAGCACATACATACAATAAACCGAGTGAAAGAGTAATTATGGCTTTTTTTAATTGTGGACAAAACTTGTTAATGGATAAAATGATAATGTATAATCGGAGGACGACAATAAGAGAGGGAACTATCTGTTATTTTATCAATGACAATGTAAATACATATGAAAATTGTATTATATAAGTCAACCTCGATCCTACCCTGTCTTTCTGGCTCCATTCGTACCTGGCACTCGGTGCCGTCAGTCTGAGCAGAGAGACGATTCGCCGCTCAGATCCGACGGACAGAAACCACGCAAGTCACGTTCCTATCCGGTGCTGCCAACCAGGATAAGTCCTAACCACTTTCTGTACAAACACCTAAATATCCCAAAGCATAATTATTCTAATTAACATTATATCTACAAGTGTTTATGTACAAAATGGGTGTATTCTACAAAAATATATCTTGTTATGGTATATAATCTGGCAGCTATGTCTGTTCGATCGGATGTCGAAGATAAGCATAAAAGTGGCAGTGGATCTCTAGAAAGTTTTAAAGTTCTAGGTACGTTCGATCCATACATTTATATACAGACGGCCACGGGCAACCCTTGTGCTCCGAAGAGGTAGGTATGGCCGCGACGAGCCAAGTGAATTCCTCTCCCTTCGCTCGTGCCGGCCCGTACGACTCTCTTTTCTTGCCCATCTCTCTCTGTTAATGAAAATAAATTACCGGTCTTGAGAGCCAAAACTGAATCGTAGACAAACACTACACTTGGCATTCCGAAAGATCTGAACATGGACGAAAACAGATGACTCTCGGCACGCACCGCAGCACTGGACCCGCAGTGGCCGGTGACTATCATTTAATACATTTTAAAAATAAGCAACGAAATATATCACTACTAAGAAAAACCACACTAAATAAATGATAAGGAAGTCTATAGATGTCACAGCATCTCCGAGTAAGGCAAGATTTGTCGTATTGCATATTTAAAAATTTTTAAGCCGGCAACTCGAGGCGGCGGAAGACCCAGATCGGTAGCTCCCCTTCTTGGGTTTTCACCTTTGGTACTCTGCCAATGGTTTAACAATGCCATCTGCCAAAGAATAAAAATTCTAATTGTAATTCAAAGTGTAAGAAGAATAATTAATTTTACATTTATTTTATTTATTTTTTCTGGTTCTTACAATATTAAAACAACAGAAACAAATTCAAAATAAACAAAAATTATTTATTGTGACATCATCACAATGCCAGGCTGCAATTTTTAATCATATTTTTAAATTATTTAACTTAATTTGAGGTGGAGAGCATGTGTTTTTTAAAATATCTATAATGGTAGCTGTTTTATTCATTCTGTAAATACTTTTCTCTTTAATCTGAAAAGAATTACTTTGGTAGACTATCCCACAGCTATTTAGGTTAAAAAAAAACTTCCTTTATTGTTTTTTCGTATGTATTTTGAGCTTACTTAATTTTCAAGCCCCTCCTCAGTGCTAAAGAAATTTTAAATATAATCAGTAATATGACAATATAACGCACGTAAATAATATTATATTTTAATCTTATTGCTGCCTCATGTTCTTTAATNATTCATCTTGTGCACATAATGAACACTATAAATCTATTTACCAAAATATTTTTCAAACAACATGGTACTGTTACTTAAATCAAAAGCCAATAAATTAAGTAAGATTTGTTATATGGAAGATTTATTGGTGATTCAAGAATAATTGATTTAACATGTTTCTCACATTCAATTATTAATTACCAATATTCAAGATATAATGATACATTGATTTCATGTGTGACATTTCAACAAGAAGTTTTTTAAATATTATTTTGCATTAATTTGAACTTATCAAATTATTAGAATCTATTTCTACTACATCATTCTAATAAGCTTCAATTTATAGGAATAAGCATTTTTAAATGTACATTCCAATTTAAAATATTTAATTTTATTTTTAAGTAACACTGAAAATAAAAATTAAATATTTTGTTAGAAATGTATCCATTAAAACATTGAACATATATAGATTTTGTTTTTATTTTGTATTTATAAAATATATAAAGAAAATCATCATAGTTATCTTAAAATTTCTAATAAAACAAAACATTATAAAAAAATCATTACAAATTATACTTGCCTGCACTTTAGATGTCTTTTTAACTGCTAACTCATTTGATTTTTTAATAGGAATTTTCCTTTTAGTTTTCAGAACAGAATCAGAAGTCTTATGATTTAATTTTGCCTAGGAAAAAAATTATAAATCAATAAATAGTCATCTACATATCTCATTACAATTTTTACTCCAGGAATGTCTTGTATTTTTTCATCAATAATTCGGCTAGTTTTAGCCCCATCTTTTTTTTAAAATTAGTAAATAATGTAAAAAAAGGAAAAAAAAAAAGAAAACCAGGAGTACCATATGACAGTTAATGAACATATTCTAAACTTATATTCTATTCATATGATAAAAATTACGCATAATCTAGATTTTTTGAGGTAAAATTCTCCACAATCTACAGAATGCATGAGAATTATCCATACAACTTTGTAACCTTTCACAATTTTTATTAGCAAAGTACTGGTGGATGGCAGCAGATCGACAAAAACATTTATTGCTATCCATCATTGTGGATCTGTGGGAAAAGGCACTGTATGTGTGAAATGGTTTATTGAAACAAAATCAGACACAAGTTTGGAGAAAGTTTTGAACATGTTACAAGAGACCCACACTGATGAGAAATTGATAAATGTTCAGTATCAATAGTTTAAGAAAACCAGAAGCAAGGCTTTTTTTTCTTTGCAGCCCATCTGAGCTGGTTGTCAACTGCAGTTACCTTGATCAACAGTAGATAGGGATCTATGAAACATTTGAAGTAGATTCTTTACAAGTTGCATGTAAAAATTTGTAATTATCACGTGTTCACCGTGCATCATTGACGTGATTGACAGGGATAATCAGTTCTCAGAGAGAATAGTTTTCTCAGGAAAGTAAATAATATGAATTTGGAGATAAAAAATATCTAATTTTATGGCCGAGCACATTAGGGACCGGAGTATTTGGTGTGGCTTGTTATATATGACTATCTCATTGATCCTTTGCCAAATCATTAGTAATTTCGGGCAATATGCAGATGTGCTGGTAAATTTTGTATATCCTCAATTATGGGGACTGCAGCTTCAAGGTATCATCTTGCAATATGATGACACTGCCACATACTGGACCTCAAGCATGCACGAGTCTCTTGATGAGAAATTCCCTGATGAGAAAACTGATAAGTGCAATTCTTTGACCACCTACCGTGTTTCCCCGAAAATAAGACCTAGCACAGATTTTGCTGAATTGCGAAATATAAGACCTCCCACTGAAAGTAAGACCTAGCGAAGTTTTTTTTTTTTTTTATTCGTAACGGTCATCGACAGATGGTTGAAAGTGGCCGTTGGGTTTTTGAAAGTACAGCCACTGATTGATCAGCAGACAATTACGCCACACAGCATGATTTGCATAAGACTATGGCTTGGGAATCACAGATTTGCATAACGTTACGGCTGGTAATAGCTAATTGGTCGGACGGGAATCACGCCACATGACATTTGCATAGTGCTACGGTTCAGTAAGCACTAATTGGTCATCGAGTCCGATGTTGAACGTATAAAAAGGCGACAGTTCGCCACACCGGATATACGTCACTCTCGTCTAAGTTCGACTTGGGAATTTTTTTGTTCAATAATAAATGTTAATTCTTCTTCCTGGAAGAAATAAGACATTCCCTGAAAATAAGACCTAGCGCATTTTTCAGAGCAAAAATTAATATAAGACACTGTCTTATTTTCGGGGAAACACGGTAGTTCACCGGATATTGTGATTTCTACTTGTGGAGATATGTTAAAGACTGTGTGTATGACACTCTGGTAACAGATATCAACAAACCAAAGGAGAGAATTACAGTTGCAATAGGAATCATTGACGTAAACAGTGCAGTGCATGTGGCAAAAACTGAAATATCACTCTGAAGTCAAACACTGAATGTGGGAATCATTAAAGTTGTTCATTAATCTCAGAAAAACCAAATATACATATATATCCTTTAATAAACAATAATTGATGTTTTTGGCCATTTTTAGTGACCAAAAACATTAATTACTATTAAAGGGATAATTTGCAATTTTAAAAAGCTGTACATGCATGTTTGTTTTACGTTTTACTGAAGCAGTTATATTGTGTAAGGAAAAACTTGAAGTTTTTTCTGTCAGGCATTACATGAATGGTATATGTATGTCTGTACCCAACAGTACATTTAAGTTATATAGATAATTCTCATACAGCATAATTTACATTCTCTTAATAAATGATGAAGTTATCAGCACTTGATAACAGACAAGTGGATGTGCCCAAAATGTGTCTTGTAAATGTGGAATATTGTTTTAGTTTCAGACAGGAGAAGAAACTAAGTTTATTTTGTTTCTGTTGTTTAAACTATAACAAATTAAAATTCATATTATAAAACTTACATTTAATTATGCTAAACTCACTTTTAAATTATGGAAAAAATATATGAAAAATTACCATTGTAAACTTTTAAAATGGCTTCACAGACAAACTTGTACTGACTCTGCAAAAACAAGAATTTACATTCATTAGTAAGGTTTAACTTTGCTAGTCTCATACAAATACTAAATTTATTATTCTCTCAAATAGATGTTAACAGGTTCTAAATTCTTCAGTGTTTCATAGGACAGAGTCTGAGATACGTAGAAAACAGAATAATAATATATCAGTCTGTAATAATTGTTTTTGGGTTGTCAAAAATACAAATTAAATGCTTGATACGTAAGAAATTAGCAGATTATTCTGAAATTGTTTAAATTATTAAATTATCAGGTAACCAAAAAAGTTCTGTTGTTTTTTGTTGAAAGAAAACAAACATAAAAATGTATAGGAAATAACACAATTTATTCATCAAAATAACCACCCTCACATTCAATAACCTGTTCCCAACAGGAAACAAGCTTATAAATTCCATTTTTATAAAAGTCACGATTTTTAGAGTTGAAAAACTTCCTTAATTCCGTTTCTATAACCTCTCTATTTCTAAACTGTCACTTTCGCAGATGATTATCTAGGCTTAAAAATAGGTGATAGTCAGAAGGGCTAATGTCAGGGAAATAAGGAGGGTGCAAAAGAGGTTCCCATCCAAGGGTCTGAATTGTGTCAGAGGTCACACGCGCAACATGATGTCTATAGCATTATTGTGTAGGAAAAGAACGCCTTTATGGTTCACTAAAGCTGGTGGTTTTTTCAAAAGTGATTGGTGAACTCAATGCAGTTGGTCACTGTAGACATTAGCAGTAATAGTCTGGCCAGATGGTATAAGTTCATAGTGAACAATTCCATTTGCAGTCCACCATATGCACAATATTGGCAGGTGCCAATTGATGAAGTATCCATTTACTGAGCTTGTAAACTTTCCCAAGACAATGCAAATGTAAACGGACAGTTTCATCACTTACGGAGAACCTTTGTGCTAACATCTGACAAGTTTGAGCAGAATATTCTTCGATTGCAGCCTGTAATTCAACATCATTCTCATGGCGCATCTTTAAGCGACTCATTGCCGGAAGAAAATTTTGTAAACCATCTTTGGGTGGTGTGAGTGCTAACAGAACCTTGTCCAAAAGCCTGGCATATTTTTTGAGCCATTTGCACAGCACTTGTTCCAAGTTTAAACTCATACAACATACAAGCACGAATTACAGAGTTTGGAGTATTCATCTTCAAGTCAATTTTTATAATATTAAGAGATAACCTTTCCACTTCTCTTTATATAAGGTGAGTCAGCATTAAATCTTGATTAACATATTGCTGGAATTTAGTGTCATCTATTGTGTATTGCGTGTAACATTCTTTAAACTTTGTAGTTTCACAAAAAACGACAGAACTTTTTTGGTTACCTAATAAGTAAAACTTGTACTAGCAGCGAATCACATTTATCTTATAAAAGAAAGTACAGAATATATTTTAGGAAGAAACTATATTAAAATATTTCTAAAATTTTCAAAATAAATCTAATATAACTCTGAAAAGACAATCATTTCTAAGTAAAAAAAAAATATTTGTGGCCAATGAAAGGATGCTCTAATTTAGTGCACTTACGAACAAAACTAAATTAGGGCTGCAAGTGATAGGCGAGACTGAAAATAGTTGAGAAAGTAACTGTAAGGTAATTAATGGGTAAATCCAACACATTCAACAGCTATTATCATCAGATTATCATATCTACAACTTAAGCCCGTTTGACTGAGATAAAGTTCACTATAATAACCATTGACAACTTATCCAGATTAGATAGCCTTGAAAAATCACACGAACTATTGGGATGATGCAAAAGTTTCTGCAATTTTATAGACCTCTAGAACACTGGTCACCAACCTTACAGACCACTAAACTCATAATTTTGAATTCCGCAGACAACTATCATGAATTTTTGTAAATGATACAAACACCTAAAGAATAATGATCATAAAAGTTTTGTTTTACTTTATTAATGTGAAGTTTGTTGCTGCTTGTTCGAAATAAGTATAGATTCTTGGCTCTTTTCCATGAAGAACTACAACTGTATTCACAACATTGCTTATTGTTGATTATTCATTGATTTATTGACATTGTAATTTATTGATAACAGTCATTTAAAGTTTGATTTTAGATTCAAATAAAAACCCCCAATAAATGAGAAAAGCAACCAAGCATTTTGCATTTCTTTCATACTTTTTTGCATAACCTTCCGTCGATCAATGTCCAAATTTCTCCACGAACTACCAAAATTTTCTCGTGCACTACTGATTGGCAACCAGTGCTCTAGAATATTTGAAATTATTATTCTTGTGGGGTAAACAGATAAATACAGGGAGTTGAGGTGCACAATCATGAAATATTGAGTGTGGTGGTAAAACTTCAAATATGTCAAGTCTTCCAACAGTTTCTTGTGAATAAATGTGCACACAAACTCTACAATTATCAATTTGGTAGAAAAGCTGCTGAATCTTACTGCCATATTGTACAACTGTGTTTGTTAAGAATGTCGTCTGAAAATCTACAATGTACAGTACAATTAGTTTAGTAAATTTAAAGCTGGGCAATATGAAGTTGAAGATAAGCCAGGCTCATTAGGGCAAAGTTATGCCATGTAATCGGTGGGATATTCAGACCAGTCCATTGGTAGACAGTTCCAAGGAATACCACTATAACTTCCAAAATCTACTGTACTCAGCTGTAACGTTTGGCTGATGCCATCCTCACTAAGTGGCCACAGATGAACATTGTGTGCTTTCTTCATGACAACACAAAGCCACATGTATTGAAGTTTACCCAGCAAAAGCCAGTCAATCTCAACCAGGAGGTTCTCCCTCATCCCTTGTATGGCCCAGACATTGCACTGTCCAACTCTCTCTTTTGTTCTGTTCATAACTTCTTTGACGAAAAGCAGTTTGCCAATGACAAGAAAACGGAAATCACACTTGCTGAGAGTCAAAAGGCAGAAAGCTGCGATCCACCCAATCTACGGAAAAATGTGCTCAAGTGTAAATAAATGTCAATTATTTTCACGAAGAAACTAATTTTTTTCTTTTGAAAGAAATGTTTTACTATAAAACTCTAGAAAATGCCAGAAACTTTTGCACCTAATCAATCATTTCAACCACACAAAAAGCATTAAACAAATAGATTGCTTACAGAAAAAAGTAAGACAAAATTATAGATATACAAAAATTTTAATACAATATTTTTAATATTCAATGGATGACACATAATAAGAATAAACAGAAAAGTAAGAAGAGAAAAGAACTTTCATCATAGGTCATTGATTGGAGAAGAAAATTGTTAAGGAAGAACATGATAAACACTAATTGACATAAAATTCTGTTGCGTCATCCTGTGATCTTAAACTATATTAGGAAGGAGAAAACTACTTCAAACAGGAAAGACAGGAGTATACCATTACAGAACTCTGCTGGAACTGTGCAAAGCTGGGTTTTTGGCTATCGCCGTAATAAAAAGTAAGTATTGCGTGAAAATCAATGTGGAGAAGAAAATGACGGTGGCTGCGTTCATTTCGATTCCAAGATTTGAGAAAATGTGCAGTGATCAACAGGCTCATCCATGCCACTAATTATAATTAATTGAATTTGTTCAATTACATTTTTTTTTTATCTTGATACATGTTTTATTTATTTTTAACTTAATGTCCTAACTCTTTAATTTAAAAAATTATTGGCTATTTCGCAAATTTTAATTGTTAGAACGTGACATAGGGCGCCAAGAATTAAAAAAGTTTGGGAACCACTGCTTTAATGTATCCAAATTTGTCACTTAGAAATGATAATTTACTTATTAAATCAAAGAGCTGGAACTATCTTATAAACATGAAAATTTACATCTTCCTCTCAATTTCCAGCATTCACTGTTTAAAAAAACAAACGTTTTCAGCCACATTTGGGGGTGTGCGTCAGGTTAAGCGATTAAGCAGATTCTATATCAAACATCTGTAGCAGATTTGAAAACGTTTGTTTTTTTTTTAAACAGTGAATGCTGGAAAATCAGAGAAAAGTGTAATTTTTTATGTTGATAATATAATGCAGATATTATGTAGTGCACGTAAAACTCATTTCTGAAAAGGAGAAACAATGGAAATGCAACATACCTTTCTGATTGAACAACAAAGATAATTTTGTTCTATTCATTCGGATAACGGACCAAAACAAGCTGCAATGTTCTCCCTTTAGTATCACTAGATTAGACAGCATACACGTAAGTAATCTGCAGTTTGCATAAGCTACCCATTTCTATGGTATTGTGATACTGTACTGAGAATAACTTACACTGTACTGTTTCTAGACTCTGCGGCACAAATGACACCTGTGAAAATGAAAGTGTCTTCAAGTGTGATGCCACTAAAAATGACATTTTTCCTGAATGTTTTGTGTTTGATGTTTTTTTTCTTCTATCTGAACAATATTGCATAATTTAATGTATGTTCTCATACTGAGTTTGCACTTAATTGTCCAGAGATAAATAGTAACTGGAGAACAGTTGAAAAGGTAACTCACTTGCAGCCCTGCTAAGTTATTCTTAAAATGTCAAAGATCTCCATATAAAAATGGTTGTAGTGACACATATTAAAAAAGCCATTAACTTATAACTAACTATATTTGTTATCAAAATGTGATGATTAATGCTGTAGATTTGTAGTTAAAGTTAAATGAAATTTAGAAAAGAAATTAATTTAAACTACTCTTTACGAGCAGTTTGTGATTAAAAATTAAGATATAAAAATATCTTACAGCAGTTTGAATAAGCATCGCTCTCTGATCCCTCATGGAACGGACGATGTCCAGGGGATAAACGGGCTCGTTGGCTTCGATAAGGCACATGGCAGTTTCCATCAGGATTAACACTCCCGTTCGACCGATTCCGGCACTTGGAGAAATTATTATGTATAAATTTGACAATAATTCAAGTAATACATTGATTTTAAAATTGCTTTTATTATAATGCATAGCAACAAATTAACTTGTAAGAAAGGTTAATTGTACTAAATACTTGGCTTGGATGTCACGCCAACAGTTAACTCAATCAAAACTTCAGACCGTGAGGCATTAAATAGAATTAAATGAAAATATTTTAATCTTGCAAGCGCTTTCAACATAAATATGTACATCATCTTCAGGCAATTCAAAATCGAATAGAAAATTTGAACAGAACATTTAAATTTAAGCATTAATGATATTAGCCGTTTTTGGAATATAACTATTAAAAATAATAAGATTTAAATTTTACAATTAAAGACATTTAAAATTGGTGCGCATGCGTTTTAAAACAAATAAACTCCGATTGGAATGGCTATTAATTAAGATCATTGAAAGTACAAAGCCTTTTTTGTAAACGCGAAAAATTGGCACACGTGCACTTTAACATGCATAACATAAGAGCCAATTAGAATGGCTATTAATTAAGAACAAGTAAATTTTAGACTTTAAATTAAAAACATTTTGCAAACACGTATAAAATTTTTGGCACGCATGCGCCTTAACAAAGACAGCATAGAAGCTGATCGGAATAGAGCCATAAGTGCAAATTTACATTAAAATTTAAATATAAAAGCATGGGACATAATAATTTAAAATACATGAAACTCATGTAACATATAAAAAGACGCACATAAAGAGGCCGACACGTATGTGCCTTGAATCACATAGTAGGTGCGGGAAATGAGTGTAGAACTATTGTTGATTTTTTAAACGCCTGTATAAATTAATCCAGACGTCTGGCAAGTCGAGAGTAGGGGAGTTGTACGGGGATAGCAGTTTTGTGAGGAGGACCTCCCAAATATATATCAAGCTCCCTTCATCACAGTGTTTGAGTATTGCCACCCGATTCCAAAGTGCTATGTGGTGTTGTATCACCAATTTGGAGAGTTCAGTGTCACAGTTGCCAAGTGCCACCGAACATTGGTGTTCAAATACACGAGCAGCCAGCATTCTGGTAGTTGCTCCTATATAATTGGTGCATAGTCCTGATATTGGATTCTGCAGGAGAACGGAGTATACACCAGATTTTTCCAGGGTGGATTTAGCATCTCTATCATTACACAAGATTCACGCAGACATGATCGTGGGACAATAGGTAAATGAAAACCATTCTGCCTAAAGATCCGGCAGATCCAGGCCATGAAGAGTCCACAGTATGGGAGTGAGGGACGGAGCGTTGTCCAATCCCGTGGTCTGCGCAATGTGGTGGAAGGGAAGAGAGACTGTATAACTGTATTTTTGACATGGATGTATTTGAGGAACTAAATCCCGCCGCATACACAGCTGTGCGGACAGCTTCCAATTCAGTATTGATAAGATGCTGTGTCGATGGTAGTAAGAATGCCCGTCTGATCAAGGGAGCTATGGCCGCATTAACATATTGCTGTGGTTGACAGGCTGTGGCCGGTATTATGGGTGGGATATTGCCAAACTTGTGATACATGGAAAACTCCAAGCCTTCCTGGGATTTGTGAATGTGCAAGTCCAAGAAAGCAATTTTTCTCCCAACTTCCTTCTCCCAAGTGAAGTGTATAGAAGCATACATTTTTGATAAGTGATGTTCTAATACTCGGACATACATATTTATGTTGAAAGCACTTGCAAGATTAAAATATTTTCATTTAATTCTATTTAACGCCTCATAGTCTGAAGTTTTAATTGAGGTTAATTGTACAACTAATTACACTAAAAGAAAAACTATTTTATAAAATAAACTATTAAAACATTTGAAACTTAGTAATACCTGCAATGAACGACCGTAGATTCCACCATGCCGATTCTGGACTGACGGACCCTCGTCACAAATTCCAAGAAATCCGTTGCATCATCAGGCACGCCGTGATCTGGCCATGCGACATATTGCACATGGGATATATGCCTCTTTTCGTTATTCTAAAAAGAATACAGTATAACAATTATCATCATCATCTAAGAGGGACATTTCTAATCTTTAGATAATGTCTTCATAAAACTGAGCAAAATCAGAAATTTCCCATTTGGGTAATCAAAAATGCTATCATTTCCTAGTTTGAACTAATCAAATACCTCTTTGTTAATAAGACTGAATTCCCGGAAGGCAATGGACGGATTCTCCTGTTCGCTCAAAAACCTGACCTGCAGTTGTCCGTAGTCGATCGTCTCGTACTGGTCGGGCCAGTATTTGTGGCATTTGACACGACCGCGTTCCATCAACGTGGTTACCATCACTATTAACGTACACTGCTGTTCCCATACCATCTGAAAACATAAATGTGACGGTTACGTCAATTAAATTAATTCAGTTTCTGTTATTTTTTAAACTCACCTGCCAGAAATCGGCACAGGTGTTTGGTAACGGCCCCTGGGTTGCAATGTATCTGTTCACTATTCCAGAAGTTGGAATTTCCATCTGAAAATTAAATTATTTTTATAAAACAGTTTGTTGAAATTCGTTGAACTGAAAATTTAAGCTATATCTGGTGCATTGTTTACTTACATTCACATGACTGGCATTTATGTAATCCCCACTCATGCTTCCTAGTATCACAACTCTTGTACTATCATCTATTAAACAGAGAAAAGCAGAATTAAAATTATGAAAACCTGTACAAAAGAAATTTATCTTCTAGCAGATCGATCCATACTAACATGGTGATATGTCTCTATATCTATTCTTTGATAAATTTTCAGGATACTTTGCAATATTCATAGTTGCACCTGGCTTTTTCCTATATAGTTGCTGAACGGGAAATCATTTTAAATTTTCGATCCTATTAATAAGGATAGAAATGCGAATAATAATATATTATACCTCAAACTGAGCAAGTGCAGCACCACTTTCCAGAGCCTCACTTAACAACAACATGGACTCAGCTAAGGCATCGCAACGTGGCACTTTGGCAGAAACGTGGGGCACATCGGGAATATACTGAAAATCCGGTTCCTCGACTTCTTCTCCAACATAAACTAACAAATAAAATACAAGAATTGAAATGTATCCTTGTTACAGCATTCTAACAACGTTTACAGTTACAAGCGTACATACCATTTGGGCGTACCGTAAGAACTAGTTCGCCCGCAGGAGTCTCACGCGAACTCCTTATTAACTTTACAACCTGAAATGAGTTTGATGTCGATTTTATTTGCAATTACTTACATATAATTACTTTAACTATTCTATAAATAATGATTAGTAATTTTTGTTTTATTCACAATTTTTTTCCAGTATATATAATGAAACAATAACAGAATTGTAAAACAATTCAATTTATTGTATTTGGATTAGTGGCATTATTATACAGGGTGTCTTTGATGAAGCTTCCAAACTCGGTACAAAAACTCGGATAATTGGTATAAAAAATATACAGGATGATTTAATAAAACAGAAGGGAAATCCACCTAACCGATGTTAAAAACATGTATTTATTAAACATTGCGAGTACTTTCGAAGACACAGCTTTCGTCATCAGGCAAAAATCCGACACAAATTTTAAACACAGGAATAGAACATAAATGCAACGTTTCTTTTTTAAATTCAGTAAAGGCATGAGATTGGAATCTATATATATAAAAATGAATGTATGTCTGTGTGTCTGTCTTATGTCCTTCATGCATTACCACACCGTTTATCCGATTGCCATGAAACTTTGGGAAGTTGTTTAATATACTCTCGCGCAGGTTTGTGGCATAGTACGATTGCCATAAAACTTAGGAAAGTTTTTTAATACACTCCCGCAAAGGTTTCTGGCATAGTACATTTAACCCACGATAGATGGCGCGCGTTTATACGAGTGTATCGAGACAGTGTGTTCGATCGATTTCAAATTGTGAAGACCATTTCCCCCCTTCAAAAAATATCTCTATATATGCATTTGTGAACTGTTATTTACGATATTTGTAATAATTTTTGTTTAATCACTTTATTTCAACTTTTTTTTGCTAATTATGTATTCGCTCGAACTTTGTTAAAACCTTAACTGTATCCCGAACAACAACCGAAGTTGTAGAAGGAAATTCGCCTATTTTACCGATCTAGGGATCCCCCTTTTCCAAATTTTAATATCGACTCAAAATAATTTAAAAAGACAAATTACAATAAAACGGTTTATTATCCAACTATCAGAAATTTCACAACATGCCAAGGAAGAGAGGAAGGAGCAATTAAATAATTAAAATTGTAAAGGATTAAAAAATATATATAAAAATGGGGAATATCGCACTTCTGACAATCGCTGCAAGTGTGTGGGCTAAATTTGGAGAATCCGTGCTTCTCGCATGGACAACTGTATGTGGCCAGCTCACGCGTCGGAAAATCTTCTGATTTATTCGTGTACGCACCAGACGGAAAAACAAAAAATATCGTGTATCCACAAGCACTACAATAAATAAATAGAATTGAAACGACACTTTGAAATGTTTTACCGATGAAAATGAATAATAATAATAAGTTTCAATAAAAATAATAAAATGTAAATTGAATTTTATCATAACAAGTTTGCTTGAATTTCCTTTCTTCTGAGATCGCAGCAATGCGCGACGGGTAAGCTAGTATCCAATAAAAATTAGGACAGTAATAAAAATGAGATTCACACGAAATTATCAACAAAAATATAAATCCTGCAGGGTGAAAAATGATGCAATATAAAGATTTCCCCATAAGAATAACATTCTTTTACCATAGCACTGTCTTGGTAATCTAGTATTAGCCCAAAGGGGCACTTAACACTCTTTTTGAAAGCTCAATAGTGAGTTTATTATTGGCATTATCCTCTTGATGTTGTGCTACCCAAACTTTCAACATTCTAGATGTGGATCCAATGTACATTAATGTTGTTCCTGATAACGGCTTCCACAATAAAATTGCGTAAACTCCCAATTTTTGCTTTATGGCAACACTGACCCTATCATTACTTAACAACCTACATAAACAGAATCAGAACAGATCATAAACAGAAGGTGTTTAGAACTCTGTGTAGAAGTAAATAAAGGACCAAATGCAACCACATTTGGTGTGCAAACTTTCTTGACTGTGGGATTTTGAATGATTTCGGAAATAAAAAGTTTACTTCCAAAATTTCCTAACACAGAGAAATTTAGCACTAACGTCATTTCCTCTACGTATTAAACAGATCGTTAGAAATTTGAGCAACAGAGAATTTGAGATACAAAGTGTAATGATTTCATTGCAATTTCGTGTGCTGATTACAGATTCCATGTTTCAACTCTCTATAGATTACAATGATACATATGGTAATTTTACACATGGATAATGCATTCCACAGCAGAATGTAACTGACTTGGTTGCAGTTGTTTTCATTGTAGTGAAATTATATCTTTAAAACAGCTAAATAAAGAATATCTTCCTGAGAAATAGTAGCTCCAAGTTGCTCCATAACAAGAAATCACAAAATTGAGTCTAGTAACTATGGTGGCAGGGCATATTTTTCCAAGTAACACACATCAACTAATTTGTCATGAAATATACAATCATTCTGTTTGTTTCATGCTTAACTTTTCATTTTACATGGAGTTATTCCACATAAGAAGTGCTCAGTCCCAAGCGAATCACCTTGTAAAAACTACTTGAAGGGAAAAGTAAAATATTGGTAATGCAAAAAGTGGACAATGTTGCAAAACAATGATTCAAATCATGTTTAAAAGTTGAAACAGCATCATTGGCTGAAAATTGAAACTGCAAAAGGTCATATCCAAACGTGCACCATCAACGCTTTTTACAGTCTTGCAGAATGCGTCGTCATCCTAAAATATGATTAAAAAGTGAGTGACAGCATTTCAAAAGGGATGTCAAAATGTCAGCCTGGCCATTCTCCAGTTACAGAAGACAAAGTGCCTGCAATAGTCTCATTGATGGGAAATGATCTTGTGTAGGAGGTCAATCTGGCTCTTATGACAGTCATCCACATTCAAAAGATATGACTGTAAATATGGAAAATTGTATCTTACTGGATAACATGTGACAGTCTATAAATGGCAGCATTATGTTTATGCTACTTGGAACAATCTTAACATGAAGGGGAAGCATTTCATTTCTAAGATGCAATATTACACTCAATGAAACATGGGTTTATTTGTACAAGATCCAACAGAAATGTCAGATAAAGGAGTGATGGCTTTTCTCTACTCAAAAGACAAAAATGCAACAGAACCACAGTAACACGAAGGCAATGATCATTGTCATGTATCAATACATTGATGATATCCCAAGCATAAAGTTACGCAAAGAACAATCCATCAATGCTCAGTACTGTGCTCATTCCTTGAAACACAATCTATGAGCAACTTTGCAGAAGAGTGATGTCACTTTCTGAGCAATACATTCTTTATTTTACATGATAATGCATACTGTAATGTGGCTGCAAATGTCAACAATCTTTTCACTTGGTAGGGCTGTGAGGTGCTTTATCACCCACACTATTCACCTGACTAAATCTCCGTGACTTCCATAACAACCAAATTTAGGGACAGAAAATTTCATTTTGTAAGACACCATAAGAGAGATACATAGTTGACATAACTTTTTTCTTTATATAACACTAAGATGATCTTTCTCAACATTTTGGAGTAGTTTTTGATGTAACCAACAAAGATGTTGAATGACTTACAACAAGACAAAGTCTCATCTTGTAAGACAACTGTCAGCCTGGATCATTGGAATCATATAAAGTGATTCCAATGGTCAGTCCATACCAGTGGATTGGGTTCACTATATGATCAGACTTAAATTGCATGCACGCACGCACGCACACACATAAAGAATTTTTTTACAAATCTCACTTCTAAAAATGCAACAATTCTCACAAACATTACCTGTTCATGTGACAGACCGGCAACATCCCGGCCATTAATCAGAAGCACCTGATCGCCTTCGTTGAGCCTAGGAATGCACGTGTCGGCTGGTGTGTTTGGTGCCACCCTGGACACCAGTATTGGAAGATTCTGGTCAGCTCCTCCCTTAAATGCAACAAATAATTTATCAAAACACAATTTTTTTGAAAAACTATTTCATTTTACTGTAAAAAATGCATAAGTGCATAAACAATCACCACCAATACTACACCGATAGCAATAACAGTTTTCACTAGTGAATTGACAATGAGATTTATTTAGTACGTGATACTAGAGAAGAATAATATTTATGTAACTGCGTCACGATACAATTAAACTGTAATCTTAGTTGTTACTCCATCAGTATAAACGAGTTGTCTTGAAAGAGTGGAGAATGTTTGCCTCCGTAGAAAGGACATAATGCAAACTAACTCAAACAGAAATTGTAAGAGATGTACCGAATGGATGTATTCGATCTTCCTCCTAAAAGCAAACGAGAGGTCCAACAAATTCCGATTCAGTTTCCACCGTCCAGAACTGGACTCCTCCAAGAAGGAAACTTAACTTCACATTTTAACAAAATTAAATTGTGTTCTACCAAAAAAATTACTTCTAACTACTTGAAGGGAAAAGTAAAATATTGGTAATGCNTGGGAGTGAGGGACGGAGCGTTGTCCAATCCCGTGGTCTGCGCAATGTGGTGGAAGGGAAGAGAGACTGTATAACTGTATTTTTGACATGGATGTATTTGAGGAACTAAATCCCGCCGCATACACAGCTGTGCGGACAGCTTCCAATTCAGTATTGATAAGATGCTGTGTCGATGGTAGTAAGAATGCCCGTCTGATCAAGGGAGCTATGGCCGCATTAACATATTGCTGTGGTTGACAGGCTGTGGCCGGTATTATGGGTGGGATATTGCCAAACTTGTGATACATGGAAAACTCCAAGCCTTCCTGGGATTTGTGAATGTGCAAGTCCAAGAAAGCAATTTTTCTCCCAACTTCCTTCTCCCAAGTGAAGTGTATAGAAGCATACATTTTTGATAAGTGATGTTCTAATACTCGGACATACATATTTATGTTGAAAGCACTTGCAAGATTAAAATATTTTCATTTAATTCTATTTAACGCCTCATAGTCTGAAGTTTTAATTGAGGTTAATTGTACAACTAATTACACTAAAAGAAAAACTATTTTATAAAATAAACTATTAAAACATTTGAAACTTAGTAATACCTGCAATGAACGACCGTAGATTCCACCATGCCGATTCTGGACTGACGGACCCTCGTCACAAATTCCAAGAAATCCGTTGCATCATCAGGCACGCCGTGATCTGGCCATGCGACATATTGCACATGGGATATATGCCTCTTTTCGTTATTCTAAAAAGAATACAGTATAACAATTATCATCATCATCTAAGAGGGACATTTCTAATCTTTAGATAATGTCTTCATAAAACTGAGCAAAATCAGAAATTTTCCATTTGGGTAATCAAAAATGCTATCATTTCCTAGTTTGAACTAATCAAATACCTCTTTGTTAATAAGACTGAATTCCCGGAAGGCAATGGACGGATTCTCCTGTTCGCTCAAAAACCTGACCTGCAGTTGTCCGTAGTCGATCGTCTCGTACTGGTCGGGCCAGTATTTGTGGCATTTGACACGACCGCGTTCCATCAACGTGGTTACCATCACTATTAACGTACACTGCTGTTCCCATACCATCTGAAAACATAAATGCGACGGTTACGTCAATTAAATTAATTCAGTTTCTGTTATTTTTTAAACTCACCTGCCAGAAATCGGCACAGGTGTTTGGTAACGGCCCCTGGGTTGCAATGTATCTGTTCACTATTCCAGAAGTTGGAATTTCCATCTGAAAATTAAATTATTTTTATAAAACAGTTTGTTGAAATTCGTTGAACTGAAAATTTAAGCTATATCTGGTGCATTGTTTACTTACATTCACATGACTGGCATTTATGTAATCCCCACTCATGCTTCCTAGTATCACAACTCTTGTACTATCATCTATTAAACAGAGAAAAGCAGAATTAAAATTATGAAAACCTGTACAAAAGAAATTTATCTTCTAGCAGATCGATCCATACTAACATGGTGATATGTCTCTATATCTATTCTTTGATAAATTTTCAGGATACTTTGCAATATTCATAGTTGCACCTGGCTTTTTCCTATATAGTTGCTGAACGGGAAATCATTTTAAATTTTCGATCCTATTAATAAGGATAGAAATGCGAATAATAATATATTATACCTCAAACTGAGCAAGTGCAGCACCACTTTCCAGAGCCTCACTTAACAACAACATGGACTCAGCTAAGGCATCGCAACGTGGCACTTTGGCAGAAACGTGGGGCACATCGGGAATATACTGAAAATCCGGTTCCTCGACTTCTTCTCCAACATAAACTAACAAATAAAATACAAGAATTGAAATGTATCCTTGTTACAGCATTCTAACAACGTTTACAGTTACAAGCGTACATACCATTTGGGCGTACCGTAAGAACTAGTTCGCCCGCAGGAGTCTCACGCGAACTCCTTATTAACTTTACAACCTGAAATGAGTTTGATGTCGATTTTATTTGCAATTACTTACATATAATTACTTTAACTATTCTATAAATAATGATTAGTAATTTTTGTTTTATTCACAATTTTTTTCCAGTATATATAATGAAACAATAACAGAATTGTAAAACAATTCAATTTATTGTATTTGGATTAGTGGCATTATTATACAGGGTGTCTTTGATGAAGCTTCCAAACTCGGTACAAAAACTCGGATAATTGGTATAAAAAATATACAGGATGATTTAATAAAACAGAAGGGAAATCCACCTAACCGATGTTAAAAACATGTATTTATTAAACATTGCGAGTACTTTCGAAGACACAGCTTTCGTCATCAGGCAAAAATCCGACACAAATTTTAAACACAGGAATAGAACATAAATGCAACGTTTCTTTTTTAAATTCAGTAAAGGCATGAGATTGGAATCTATATATATAAAAATGAATGTATGTCTGTGTGTCTGTCTTATGTCCTTCATGCATTACCACACCGTTTATCCGATTGCCATGAAACTTTGGGAAGTTGTTTAATATACTCTCGCGCAGGTTTGTGGCATAGTACGATTGCCATAAAACTTAGGAAAGTTTTTTAATACACTCCCGCAAAGGTTTCTGGCATAGTACATTTAACCCACGATAGATGGCGCGCGTTTATACGAGTGTATCGAGACAGTGTGTTCGATCGATTTCAAATTGTGAAGACCATTTCCCCCTATTTCAAAAAATATCTCTATATATGCATTTGTGAACTGTTATTTACGATATTTGTAATAATTTTTGTTTAATCACTTTATTT